CTTGTTGAGAAAGATAATGTAGCTCTTGAGCGATTAAGCTATTTAGTTGATAAAATTGTGGGGCAGCGCTAAAAAGTTTGTTCCTGAATGTCTCAGTGAGGACGCAACGTGATCTGTGTGAGTGACTGAGCGTGTGCGCGTTAGATACAGAAGACACCGCATTAGTTTAGAACTCTTCTAATTTTTATTTTTTAAACGTAGAGAGTGTGTTAATTTGTGCAATGATAACCAACCAGCAATGTAAATATGATTTTTACAAATATATTAGAATGAGTACATTATTATTTATGGGCTTAAAAACAAGATGCAACCAATCAGAATATTGTACCTGGTGGGGAGTGCCCAATGTAAACATGAAACATATGCCATTACCTATATTGTACTGTGGTACAGTTATGGAGGCCCTTCATAATGCAGAGGTCAACTGCCTGCTCTGCCAATAGTTAGAAATGGCACTATAGTATGCAGTGTGTAATAAACAGCTGTTTTACTAAATTCTGCTGAGATGAAATTCAGTGCAGTCATGTATCATGATATGTATTGTATTGTGGCCTCTGTATCGTGATGCGTATCGTGGCTTTGCTGGTGATACACAGCCCTACTTGTATGTGCTGTGAGCTTTGTAATGGATTGTAATATAGAACGTATCGCTAGTCCTAAGCAGCTATTCACACAGAATGTGTTTTGCATTGAAAAACATAAGACAGGGCAGTGGAATGGGAAAAACACAAGGTTTAGAGATGCAAAGTTATGTTTGATATTTCATGTTTGCATGATTGTGACAGGCTGAAAGGTACTGTTATTTTCTTTGTTTTACAAAATATTTACTGTTAATAAGTGCAGGCCAAAATTCAAAAACTTAGAGACAAACAACGTGGTAAAACAAAGGTGAACACTGGTTGTGTTTTGACAAGACACAGAAATTTGATGGAATGTTTGGGTTTCAATTAACATGATGAACTTGCAGAGTTTCTTCTCGACAGCTAAACTTAGTTAAAAGTATTTCTAATTTGTTGGAATTTTTATTGAAAGTAGCCTACTTTTACCTGTTGAGATATGCCATCACTTTTATAGACCCGTAAGAGCTGTGTTTGTGATATTTGAGTTGGGGAAGGAGTGATGTGCGAAAGGGTATTTGAAAAGTTTGTTTGATTGTTTTTGTAGTTCTGTTAGATGATACTAGCATCTCAGAAACTGCCTTGTAAACAAAAGGCCAGATAACCTTTTGCAGAGATCAGCTTATTAAAAGGGTGATGGTGAGTATTACATCAACTTGTTAGATGACCAATCTCACTGTTAAATGCTCCTCCACAATAGACAGAGTGATTATGACGTGTAATGCTCAACTACGAAGACTTCCAGTAACATGAATCATATAGTAACATTCATCAGAATGGTAAGAACAACTGCTTTTGGTACTAAGAAATTAACAGTGGTGGAAAGAGTACTGAAAATTTGTACTTAAATACAAGTACTGTTACATTGCTGAAATAATACTCAATTACAAGTAAAAGTACTGGTGTCAAAAAAGTACTAAAGTAAAAGTACAAAGTACTCCTCTCAAAAACTACTCGGAGTTAGTTAGTTACTAGTTACTTTTTAGCCGGCGATATAATGGATTACCAAAAAATATTCATATCAAAGATCTATGTGGATAATAGCTACTTTGAACATAACCCAAAAGTAAAAGTACAAAGTACTCCTCTCAAAAACTACTCGGAGTTAGTTAGTTACTAGTTACTTTTTAGCCGGCGATATAATGGATTACCAAAAAATATTAATATCAAAGATCTATGTGGATAATAGCTACTTTGAACATAACCCACTTTTATCTTATTGACAAAGTATGTGAATTAGTGGTCATGTGTAATATTAATTAAACAATGCTCATAAATGGCTGTTGAGATAGTATTCTCAAGTGAAATAAGTAGAGGCTTGGACCCGGAAACAGCAGTCCTTATGTTATGATTTGACTTAAGAGGATTCTCCCGAAGCTGTCAAACTGATGTCATCAGAGCCAGAACATCATTCCAGAGCGGAAGGCAATATTCAGTTTTTGATTAAAGATTACGACAATTTGCATGACAATGCAGACAATTTTTTTTTCAGTGTATTGACTTGCACGGTTTAATTGTTTACCACAAGACTAGTAATGTGCACTAAAAAGTAAGTAGGGTCATTTTTTATTTCATGACGACTAATCATTTTCAATACCACTGGCAAAACTTCCAC